ATCGCTATTGCGACGCTCCGGAGGTAAAGAATTAGAGATGTTTGGGAAGAAACGGTGAAGTGAAGAGAGAAGGAAGATTTAAGGTGAGTTTCTATTCATCTAAACCTTACAGCATCCAGTCTACTACAAAGCATTGATCTAAAGTAGTGGAGAAATGTTCTCTGGAGCGATCCTTCATGCCTTCCTGCCTGGGGGAATCTGGGTTTGGACGTTGCCAGGAGAACATCACTTATCTGCCTGGTTCGTGTCGAGTGTAAATGTTTGGCAGAAGGGATTCTGGTGTGGGACACTTTTCCAAAGTTGGACTGGTTAATAATTATTGCAGCTTCATCACAGGGTCAAAGACAAACTCTGGTGAGCTATTGAAAGCAAGGCGGGTGACGGCTTCAGAAACAAGGACGCAGGGAAAGGCTGATCGCTGTGAAAGGAAGCTTGATTATAAGCATTTATAAAAGAAAAAGAAAAAAAAAACAAGGACAAAGAATGCCTCTATATGCTTCTGCTCTGACACGGATTTTGTGTCAGGGGTCTTTTTGTGGGAGAGAATTATGATTACGAGCTGCTTTTACAGGGCGGGGGAAATGTGTGTGAGCGGCTGCGCTCGTGTGTCGTGGCATGACCAAGAATAGATGGATCCTCATGCTATTGTAACGACAACTGATCACTCATTCAGATACTCTGCCTTGGTCAGGAATATAATGAGAACGACATGCATGCATGTTACTCCGGAGCCCAGACACGGCCCAGACTTAATTAGCCGTCTCTTGCTAGATGCTGATTGCAGAACCATGCGTCTTGATTAGAGCGTACGCAGCACTTCCTCACACACATCCATCACACACACAGGAGAGCTTAGACGTGTCACTGAAGCACTCCTTAACTTTGGAGTGTTTTATAAACTGAACAGAGGAAAGCAATTTACTTGAAAGCAACTTGGCATTTATATAAAAAATTCACGTTTCTTACATGAAAAGGAATCCCCCCCCCACCCACTCACTAAAGAAACATTACTCTCAAAAATAGAGCTGTATTGTGTGTTACATAGAGGTATACATTTAATTTATGAAATTAGGGCAGTTTCTTTTTTTCATTTTTGGGAAATAAAATTATTTGGTGTCAGGAAATGCCAAACAATTATCTTGTTTTGATTGTGTTTACACGTTTAGCGTAGCTTCTCGTTTTTTTCCTGTATGTTTTCTGTTTATATTTATTAAATGTCGGTATTTTTAAGAATAACATTAAATATCTTATGTTAGAAAAACAATTTTTTTCAAAAGTCCACACACACACTCCTGTTTGTGCATTACTTTCCTTTTTTTTTTTTCCGGAAGGGTTTGCGCGCCAATGTCTCAGTTCGTATATGTAAACAAGGCAAAACAGTGAGATTCATTATTCGTCCCACAGCTGAACAATCTTTCTGCTTCCTGCCCACATATCATTTCGAGGTGGATCTGTCAGCCAGAATAATGACCTCAGCTGTCTCGGATATGGAGGAGGAATGGCGAGGACTTGGGAAAGATATAACTAGCGGAGGAATCCCATTCCATGACCCGTCATTGGGGTTCCTGGCTCGGCTGGGTTGTCATAGAGACACAGATTGTGGGGGATTGTGTTTTCTTTTTTCTCCCCTTTGCATATAATTGTGGGGAGATTACATTAAAATATGTCTAATTTAGAGATACGGTGTATCCTCTTGGTTTAATCACCAACATACCCCTTACATAAACCGCATTGAAAATCCAGTGAAAGGAAAACATTTCTGGGTTTCTGAAAAACAGCTGAATAGAGGACGAACCCTAACAAACACCAATTAGGTCCTACTGCTCAACATCAACCCTAAACAGTCAGACATTCAGTGGAATGGTTTAGAAGGCATAGTCGATGTTTTTGAACGGTCCAGTCCAAGTTCAGAACTAAATCCAGTTGGGAATGTGTGACAAAAGATGCTTGCCATCCAAACTGACAGTTTTGCAAAGAATGGCAGGCAAAACAAGTGAGTCTCCAGAGCTGGTAGACATGCATACACCAGGGTTTACCCCAGTCTATTATAAGCCTGGCGGGCCACCAGGCTTTACTGGTGCCCCCACCAGGCTAGGCATTGCTTATTTAAGTTTTTAAAAAAAAATGTTTGAATGACTTTATAGTTGGTGTTCAAGCATCAATCTTTCAAACTTTTGATAACACATAAGTGATATTTTCACATTTTATGTCAACTTGAAACATTTTTTTAACTCAAAAACACGACAGGCTGCTGGACGAATGACTACCCTTTCATTTAGCAAATATGAGCTAATTGGCTCTGTGACTTAAAATCCCATTTAAATACATTGAATCTTCTGGTGGAAGGCATGCGTTGCTCCACCTTGCAGCATCCCTAGTAATTGTCCAACTTCTAAATCGGATGAATACAAAATTGGAAAACATACGTTTCTTTACCAGAACCACCAACTTGAAACCCAACATGCCAATTTTGCACCATTGAAATTCTAAAATCTGCAGTGATTGGCTTTTGATTTGTTCACCCTGGAACGCAGTTAGCATGTTATTCCACAAAACAGCTCCTGCTGTTTTTCCTCACCAGTAAGAGACCAATTTGCTTTAATCCTCTGCTTATGTCGTGTTCAGCTGTCTGAGGACGGCTCCATTAGCAGGCTAGGTTTCTTGTTTTTTTTCAGAATCACTGACTAGATGGGTTTTATTAATGGATTAGAAAGATTTGAGACCTTTTGGATCAATCCATGTTCATGTTTAATATATATAGAAAATAACTGGGAGGCCATCTCTGATTCTCTTTAATGTTCTGACAATTTTTATATTGAGGAAAACACCAAAAACTGTGACTTACATGAGCCAATCGTTCAGACAAGTTGATGGGTTTTAGTTCAAACCAACGCTTGATGCTCAATGTAGGAATCTCACTGCCACTTTTGTGGCACTTCCCTCCTTTTAAAGTCACATCCAGGTGTCAGCTTTGAACCAGGTGCATCTGTAATTGCAGTCCGCCATCTGGATGTGGAAATAATTTAACAGATGGGATTAATAATCCATGGGCACGCTTTTGTTAATGTTTCGAACGGCAGCAGCCCTGCTTTAGGAGGAAGTCTCCTGCTAAACGGCATGAACGTTTTAGGTCTTTGAAGATTAAAAGTTTCCTAAAACATTTCGATTATAATGGTTATGCTACAGAGAAAGTGATGTTCATATTTGTCCTGTTGTGGGTTTTGCTCATTTCATCAAACTAGTGCTATGAATCAGTGGGACTCAAGAATTGAAAGAAATCAAACATTGTTGATGTGTGGAAATGTTTTTTATTTATTTATTTATTTATTTTTGCTACTGTTCTTTCTAGGATTGTTTCCTGTCTCCAGCCTGTGTATCCCTCCTCCTCTTTACACACATAATGCATATGAATGACGTGACCTCAGCTCCCTGGAAACAATAGAGCACTCCCTCCTCCTTGCAATTCACTGGGTCCCAGGATCTATTTCATTCCTGACAATTCTGCCATTTTGAAAGGATGTTCCTCCCAGCTCCTTGCGCCGCGCTAAAAGGAGATTTTGAATTACAGTGACGCAGAGGTCTTCGACCCCAATTCTGGGCTTTTTAAATGACTGCCTCAGTCAATTTCTGCCAGATGGGTCTCTCATGGCAGATGTCATCACAGTCAGATTGGAAGCTTGCTCAGAATATGTGCTTTTGCCTCCCACTTGTCCAAATCGTGCTTAACTACTCGTGATTTACTGATTTGATTGTTATAGAATTACTTCATAATCCACTTTGATTGTTTATTGAAATTATGGCTCGACTTTCGCCAAAGTTGTTGCTTTCAGTGGCTGCTCTATTTATAACGGTATTTGAACATTTCTTTTTAATCTGTCAATAAACTCTCTTTATAGACAATGGTATAAGTGCTTAAAGAAGTTATGGGTTGCTATTCAAAACGTTATAGCCTTCGTTTATACCTGTTTGGGAACAATTTTAAACATCATGGTAATGAGATCCAGGTAATAATCCAGTTTCTGGTCCCACCTGTAAAACACAGATTCTGTTCCTGAAGCCCTGAATGACTGCAAACACAAACTGTGAAGCAGCTGCAAGCTTTTGATTTCAATAACGCCAAAGGAAGATGGGAATCAACAAAGTAAAAAGAAGAAAGTGATATTCTTTGAATATATTTTCAAAGTGGTAAATAATCTCGGTCTCCCCGTGGTTTGCTTAGGATGAGGAATTGCTGGCAATATTGGAGAAATGGGTTTTAACCAACTGGGATTACATGATTTTGACTCTTCAGCTAAATTGTCTTGGATTCATATGAACTGAATTGAAACAACCACCTGCTAATTTTATTTATTTATTTATTTATTTTGCACCAAGAAAGTGCTTATTGGTCTGTGCATCAATCAAATGTTGTAATATTTGTGTTTTGGCACATATTATTTATTGACGGGAGCAACATACCTGGGAAAATGTATTACATTTCAATTCAGTAACCCCTATTTGGATGTGCAAGAGTAAAATCAAAACCAAAGCCTCTGAAACAACAACAACAACTCAGATAAAAATATATGACAGGTCATTTTCCCAAGTGAAACATTTTCTAAAGTCGGTAAGTTCTCAGCCTGTGTACAAGCAGGCAGGCGAATGCTGAGGCTTCAATGCACACATGGAAGGTCCCATCCTACTGTGAGGAGGTTGGCACCCAGCCTGGGACCTCATGCTGGATATCTGCGGATCCCTCCTCGTTGTCATCAAACAAACTCGACGTTCCCTTCGACTGCTCCTCCAGTGAACACACTGCGCTGACCGCGGAGATAGAAAATCCTCTCAGGAAGTACGGGATATCTTTCCAATCATTGTCGTCTCTGTCCTTAGCCGTTAAGGGGCGAGTTATACAGCAGGAGGAAGGGCGCAGGTCACGTAAACATCAAATCAAGGTCTGTGTCTGTGTGCGATTGCAACCCCTTGACCTTTAATCATGTTTTGTGTGCGTCTGTCTGCAGAGGCATTCAAGGGAAGAAGTGCGGGACCATTATTGTGAAAGCCGAGGAGTTGAATAACTGCAGAGTGAGTAACTGGTTTCTTGGAGCTCTTTGCCTTTTAGGTTTTCTGTTTTTAAGATCTGCTTTCACACACGTTCTAGTTTATTCACACTAAAATAACAGAAACCTTTCCCAAATGAGCAGATTAGTCGTCATTCAACTTGTATCTTTGTACGATTGAATATTAATGTCATTTTGTTGTGTTGCATCTTGTTTTTCTCAATCAATCAAATTTTATTTGTATAGCACATTTCAGCAGCAAGGCATTTCAAGGTGCTTTACAAAATAAAAACGGCATGTGACATTGAATAAATGGTTAGAAAACATACTTTTGTTACGGAATTTAAGCGCCTGTCATCGCCGGACTCCGCAGTCCGTTTAATACGGGTATTATCCAGGCCCCGTCGCCTAACAAGACAAGGTCTCCAACCTTGCAGCACCAGGCTCCGTCCACCTGTCACGCAAATTTTTGCGCTAGGACTTCGCCGTTCTACATGGATTTTTGTGCACTATTTTTACCTGTTAGTCTAGAATTTACAGGGTTTAACTCAAAAGCAGACTTTATTTTCTGCAGCCCAATTGAACGAACATGTGCATGAACCCACCATCCCTACAGCTCAGTCTGCAAAGGCACTTTCATAATTAGTTATCCCTAAATAAAGAGCCTTTCCAATTTTACACAACTCACTGCCAAGAGGCTTTGTTCCAACAAAGAAATAATCAACCAAAAACAAACATCCTCACTCTTGGTGTTAAGTTTATCTGAAATGATGATAAATTGAGTTACTTTACCATCTGCATAGCACACTGTGAAATTTATTTATTCAAATGCAAAACAACAAAAGAAAAGCACTGTTCAAATCAATAAATAAGGTTTCTTCTAAGGGATTACGTCAAAAATGTGTTGATCCTCCCCCTGTATTTCCCTGGTGCTATTTATTTTTCATCTGTCATCCTTGCTGTCCCAGTTTCTTTACTCAGCACACCCTTAATTACTTCTGGGGTTCAATAACTGAGCAGGAACCGTCTTTTCCCAAGTTATCAGTAAAAATAAATAAATAAATAAATTTTAGGATTCAGACTGTCACAGTTAAATAAAATGACGCCCTTTTCTTTTGTTATGCACCAGTGAAGTTGTAGGAAAGCAGCCAGCAGCAGCCTCGGCACACAAGAAGTGGCAAAAGTAAACTTCTTGTTCTGTTTACATGGAAAACTGTGGAATTCCTGGAAAACTTCATGAATGACATGGGTCAGGGGTGAATGGGTCAGATGCAGTATGGAAAACCAGTTGGAGACTGCAAAAAAACTTTTATATCCATGGAGATGACCTCGAGCTTCATTGGAATGATTCACATCAAAACATCCCCGTGTCAGAATGGCCTAGTCAAAGTTCAGACCTAAATATGACTGAAATTTATTTCTTTATTCTTTTTAAGCTAATTAAAGCGTCAAAATTGGGCTTAAATTAGCATTTTCTGACTGTCTTAAACATCCAAGTTTTCCAGTTTTACTGGAACTGTCCCAGTTTCCTTCCAAAAACTTCAGATGTGATCGTAAACAAGATATGAACCCAATTAAATGACTGTTGTATCTATATCATTGGAAAATCCTTTTAGCATTTTTAGCTTCATGGCTGCTCCTGGTGGTTTCTGGGGTTTTATAGGTCACTGAAGTTCATGCAGTTACCGTCATGTATTTTTACTGTAAATGATTTCTTTTCAGTCCCACTGGTTGATCCGACACGCTTTGCTTTGTTTAAGGAATCAGTGATGATGCAGTTCTGTGGGACCAAGTTGGACAAGAAGGATTTCTTTGGCAAGTCGGACCCGTTCCTGGTTTTCTACAGGAGCAACGAAGACGGCACGTGAGTTTTCCTCCCATCCGTCCGTCCTGTTTTCACGTTCCCTCCTTCACTTTCTTTTCCCCTTTTCATGTTGGGTTTTGAACCCCTCCCTGCAAAAGAAATAGTTTTTATTGATTTTCCGTGTAAACGTGTGTGAATTACATGTGGATATGTCAACATACTGTGTGTGTTGGGGAAAAGTGCAGCACACACAGAGTTTACAGGTGTGCGTGTTGGACCCGGCTCTGTTGGCGCTCTCTGTTTTCCTGCAGTGTGGTACAAGTCAGATAAGACTTTGTGCTCTGAGGGACTCATGAAATTACCTCTTTCTCTGCTTCTTGATGGTGTGTGAGTGGGGGCGTAAAAAAATCTTTGAAACAGGAAAAGTTGTTTAAAAAATGTCATGGCAACTTGAATGTGATTTAAAGCTGTAAGAAGCTGTTGTTTTTATTATATTAAAACTTCCAACAAATATCGGCGTTACTTTGTGGCCTGCTGGAAACGTCTGGAACTTGAATTAATTATTTGCTTGAGAGAAAGGAAAATGTAGCAAGGAAACAGATATTTTTTTTCTCTTAAAAATGTATCACATAACTTCATCTTGAATCTTTGTTTTTGTACTTTGAACATTTGAATCCGGAAAAGTAGAGGTAATGTATTTTTAGAGCTCACGTTAAAAACTAATTTCAAGAATTGCATTAAATTTTATTGGTTATTATCTATATTAACAATTTATTTACTCAAAATTGAGAGAAATAACAAAATAGAAACAAAAAAGATTCGTAGGAACCAGAAAAAGTGTAGCAGACCCAATAAATGGTCTGTTTCTGTGTGATATTTTACTTAGTTCAATAGTTTTCAGTTATCCTATAATACCACAGAGAGGTTGACAAAATACTATTTGAATAACAAACCCAGGAAGACAAATGCAGTATCCAATTACTTAGAAGCAGAGGTGATGTCACTCTGTGTGGGAGGGAGCATTTAAAACAGAAACAAAATAATTTGTCGCAGATGCTGTCAATTGGAATAGCTCTTATTTTAACTAAGGTTGCCACCTTTGCCAAATCTAGCATGTAAGATATGTCTTACTGTTATCTTTTTAGGGTTACTCTATATTAACAGTTCGATCAGGTTCCTCCAACACCTTTTGAACAAAATCTCCCCTCGGCTGGCATGAATCGATATTCTGTAGTTCCTTTTTGTCTTTTGGCTGGAAAAATGAAAATGATCAAAACTGCAATAGCAGCAAAGACGAAAACGATTCAAATGACCCAACAAAGTCGAACTCTTCACCAGCAGCCTGAATGAACGTCCGACGTCCCTAAAAATAAAAACGACTAACTTTGATTCTTCTTCCATCAGCTGCAACATCCACACTAAAGAGTGTTGTTAATAGCTGTGTTTCTATTACGAAACTGTCAAGATATCATCTGATAAGTGGTCAGGGTTGGTTATGGTGAAAATCATCCAGTTTTGGTCACAAAGACTATTTATTGATTTATTGAAAATCCTTATCTTCTCCAATCAGAATCCCTCCCTACTCTTCAGTAACTTGATTTCACTTTGGGTTTCTGGGTCACGTTTACCTCCTTCCTCTTGTCGTCCTTTCTCTCCAGGTTTACCATCTGCCACAAGACCGAGGTGGTGAAGAACACTCTGAACCCCGTGTGGCAAGCCTTTAAGATCCCCGTGAGAGCTCTCTGCAACGGGGATTACGACAGGTAAACCTCCCTGGGGTTATGGCTGCCAGACCGCTGCTTCTGCAAGCATCTTGAACAGCAATACATATTTTCCCAGTACTGCACACAAAACAAAAATCTTTAGAGGAATAAATAGTTTTAAGAACCCTTATTAATGAGCAGCAGGTTCCTGCTAATGGCCTCTTCAGACTGGATTTTGGCTCTGTTTATAAAAACAACCCCCACGTAATAGTTGTATAAAAGCCTCTTTTTATGCTATTATTAGGATCACGTAGAAATGACAAGAGCCGTCATTATGTGACAGTGCTGATAATGCTCACCTGCCAGAGACGTGTGCCTCACATTGTTTCTGTTTCTCTGGAAAAATAATGTCAGTGGACAGTAAATAACAGGGCTCCCCGCCACATGAAAAATGCATGTTCTGCATTGTGTTGAGGAGCAGCGGAGGAAAGTATTCGGGATCACCAGCAGAACGAGTGAATACTGCTAACAGTTTCACCACAGGGGCAGAAATAATGACTGCTGTCGCTCTCTATGTGAAACCAACTAGCATTCAGATTGATCCTTCAGACTTATTGGTGAGCGGTAATAATATTTTCTGGCAGTATTTATTAATGTTTTTAAGTCCTTCAGACCTTGTCTACACCACCGTTTGCTGTGCAGACGCAGTGTTAAATGGTGCGATTAGCTGCTTTCTCTTAATGCAGGACTCTTTATTTTTCGGGAGGGGCAAACTGATGATGATGAAACTCATTTGACTCTAGGCAAGAGCTTTCCTGTCAGCTCTCATAAACATCCTGCCGAGGTGACGACATTTAGGGGAGACTTTGCAGCAGTTTCATGGAAGCGGTGGTGCACCTCGTGAAGGAGACCTAAAATTGCCACAAGTGAAAACGGGGAAATAAACTTTCTTCTGTCTGATTCTAACCTCTTTTTTCCCCACGAGCCCCGTTTAGTCCGCCTTAATAAAGCTCTGGTTCGTTGGCCTAGAAAGCCTTATTTGTTTGGAGGAGGTGTGAAGACACAGTTGAACTCTGCAAACTATAGTGCAGGGTATTCTGGGTAAATACAACCAGAACAAGCTTGAGAGTCTAATGCTAGTGGGAAAAATTGCTCAGGGTCTTTTACCAAAGACAAAAAATAAATTCGACAATCACTCAAATCTGGCGTTGTGCCATTTTTGTTTACATTTTAAGAAAAAGGAAGGTGCGCTCATGTCTTCTTTGGAGGTTTTTGTGCCGTTTCCTTCAGTGGTTCTTGGTGCAACTAATTGGTTTTTCAATTAGTTTGGATTTCTTTGCTAGTGCAGTGTGAAAGCAAACGGCACCAATTTAAAATGTAACAAATGCTGCAATTATGGGATTTTATGTTAGAACATTTCTCATAACAGTGAAACAAAAGAAAAGGAATGCAAGGGGTTTTTTTATGTTTTTTTTTTTTTTTTACATATAAAAAATTGAATTGCTTTTTTCACGTATTTGTATTCACCCACCTGTACTCTGATACCCTCACAGCTCGGAAGATCTGATCTGTTCAAAATAGTACAAACATAAATCTGGAATTGACCCTGTTGAGGATTGCAGACACGTACATCTGCTGGGAAACGGGTTTCCTTGGCTTTCTGTGAATCAGACTGTGGAAGTGCAGAGGATGGAGAAGCTGTCAGCGGCACTTATTGTTAAAGATATACTGAATGACAGGATTTGGAGTCTTAACTCGTAGGTACAGAGCGCAGCGTCTGTACCCGAGGGATTGCTATCAAAACTCTCACAGTCGAGGAAGAGTGGCGGCAAATGCAACTTATAGTAAATCTTTATCCTTGGAAATAAATTCATCTTGCATTGCTGCAGCATAATCTTTTTTTTTTAAACCACCACTCCAATTATACATGTTGTCCTTCCCATTTCGAAGAGTGCCTCTGATTACTAATCAAAAGTTCCCCAGCTGTGATTGATTTCAACAAGGAGAGTAAAAATGAGAAAATGGTTAAGTTGCGTTCAGTTACATTGCTTCCTTGGTTACATAACATCTCAGGGGAAGTTCAACTCTATCAACTAAGAAAACAAATAAGTGGATAGATCCTCTTGTGTCTATAGCAGCTTAGTAGTGAAAAGGGCACAAAGAAGCCCGCCACAGGGTTTATCTCTGCTGAGCTAACAGACAGCAGCATTGATCCTCAGTTTGGTCCAATAAGCTTACTGCTGGAGCAGAGTTGCTCCATGCCTTATCAGCGGGAGACTCTGCAAGCTGCATGTACGGCGCACAAACGCTGCCACACGTGAGCCTGCAGCCTGAGACGGGAGATAAGGGCGAGCTGAAGCTGGAAAACAGAGGACTGTCTTTCTGCACATGCACTCAATCACAGCTTCATGTTGCATCATCAAAGCTCCGAACGACGAGACGTTTTCCTCCCGTCGTCGTCTTAAGGGAAAAGGAGATGAAAACCGGGAGCGCCATTCAACCAGCGTCGGCCTGGACCGTCGCCGCTCCCTGCTCCCGACTTTTTCTTTCCCTGTAAAGCGCATCCGGCTCTCCTCAGCAGCTAACGAGGACTTACATTTTCCATCCTCGTTCTGCAAGGCGGAAAAGTTCAGCCGGGGTTCGGATTCTAATTAGATATCACTCAGATGCTTTAGAGAACAGGCTCCGTGCGAGTTCAGAGCACAGTCTGGAAAGTCCCCTGTCTAGTTATAGACTTGTGCAGCGTAACACAGGAGATCTGTCTCTGCTTTCTTCTGTCAAAATGACTAACTAAATTAACCGAGAGGCTCGTCACTCTCTCCAGCTGAGTGCAGAGGGCTCTCTCTGGTTTAATTTGCTGCTTGTTCTTTTATTCTTCTGCCCCCACTCTCCTCCATGCCCTTCCCTACAAGCCATTCTTCTGTTAGAGATATTGGTAGATGGACCGATGGCATCACATATCAAGCCCTTTCAGGTTGTTCTTTATTTTTGTTTTCTAATTTCCTCATAAGATATTACGACGCAGAGAAACTGATTCATTTTGAGGTGACAAGAGAACATTATCAAAAATAAGTAAAGGGCAGGTAGATAACATTTTGAAGTAAAGATGAGCATCAGGAAGGCTCTGCCTCTCTAAAAAATAAAATAATTTTTTGCTTTTGGTGATGTAAATCGACTCAATAAGGTAAAAACTTTGTTTTACATTTGCTTCTCCCACCAGAACAATCAAGGTCGAGGTTTACGACTGGGACCGAGACGGCAGGTAATTACTCTGGAACAGTGTGAAGTTCTCATATTCTTTGCTGACAAAATGGGATTTTTAGTTAGTTTTTTTTTTTTTTTTGCATAATTGTGGCGTTGAATTAAAACGACGCTGTCATGTTTAGTCATTTAGATATTGCATTAAGGGTGAGGCAATATGCTGCACTACATTACAAGTAGGAGCTTTAGAGACCATATCAAGACTTTCATTGTCTTGTCTGCATGCTGGAGGAAATCTGGCCCCTGTGCTTATTCATATTATGACATCATCTGCAAAGGTAATGATGCAATACTCTGAAATATGCGATCGTGTAGATATTAAATGAAAGTGGGCCAAGAATAGAGCCCTGAGGAACACCAGATGTGATGTGGTGAAGCCTTTCCACAGTCCTAACCGTCTCTCATTCTTCATTTGTCCTTGCAGCCATGACTTTATTGGAGAGTTCAGCACCAGCTACAGAGAGCTCTCTATAGGACAGAGCCAGTTCAATGTCTATGAGGTAAGTCTGAATGTGTGTCTGTGATGAGCTAGCATGCACATTTCTGCAAAGTTGTTTTTTCTTTTTTTTTTCATCGTCATTTCTTTTGTTGTCAGTTTTGTGAAATTTTATCAAGTCTGCTGCAATTTTAATTGCATTCAACTGGATTTAAAGCATTCATTACAGGAGAATATTTGAAAATGTGTAAATTATCACCTCAGATTAAAGAAGCAAAATGAAGAGTTTAAAAAAATGTAATCAGTTTTAGACAATGACTAAGATTTCTATAATGAAAACAGAGAAAAATGCTGTATTTTGTCAAAGGGACACTATTATGTATTTTCCAGGCATATAGCGCCATCTTATGGCACAATCAAGAAACCTTCAGTTGTTATAAAAATACTGCGACTACAAAATATATGACTTAAAAGAAATTTGACTTTGTATTTTAACACCTTGAAATTGGGCCTCTGTCTCTTTAAAAACTCCTGCTCTTTCTGAAACTCCATCTTCAGGAAGTCATTGCAACTTCGCTCTTCTATTAACTCTTTAATAACGCTGTTACTCACATTTCACTGAGAAGTAGCTCATAATGAACTCAGCTGATACGCAGTTCCACCAGGTGTTTGCTAATTGCTGATGGCTAGTCTGAAGGAATCGAGTTGGGGATTTGCCGGGGACGGGAACTCTGAGGCGGAAGCTCAGAAGCATGGAAACTGCAGCTCTGAGGAGGAGCTGCGCCTCGAAGGCGGAGCTATGTGCTATGTCTAATCAGGTGTTTTGCGCAGCTGAGTGGTTGCCAAGGGAGATTACTGGATTTCTCAAACATGCATGAAAGAATCAAGGCCACACTTCAGATATGTTTTTGATGAGGGAATAACTCAAAAATAGCTCAGAAAAGTCAATTTTACATACCACTGGCCCTTTAATTATGAATGGCAGTCACACACACTGATGCTACTATAGTGGCTCTCTAATTTCCATTTGTTGATTGACACGCAGAGAAAAACGCAGAAGACATCTTGCTTGTACAGCTGCTGTTCGCTTTAAGCTCTTTTATTGTCTTTCATATCTTATCTCGCAGTAATAAACACTTTTCTTCACCTGCTTTACCTCAGTACAACCTCACTGTATTACTTTTCTTCTGGAAATAAGCCTACAGTGCATCCGTTTCACTTTTACTCTCCATCTCCAAAGGCACACTTGCCTCATGGGTGCTCGCTCAAAGATAACCAAGGAGAAACACACACACAAAGAAACTCCCCACACGTTTTGTCGGTTGTTTTTCCTCGAGGCCCTCTTCCTCTGTTTAACCTTGGCACAGTTTAATGGGACCAGGAAGCAACGCTCCAGTGTTTGGGATTCAAGAGGAGTCTCAGCCTTGCTTCTGTCTGGCCCCTTTCATTACCGAAGCTCTTGGATGTTTTACAAACTCCTGGCAGATTTATGAGAGACGGCACCAATTGAGGGCAACAGCTGAAGATGGACTAAGAGCTTGAGCTTTATGTATCCGAGGAGAGCATCTAAGGTCTGTTTGTCTTATAAATTCACACTAATTTTGCACATGTTGCACAAAATGTTGCAGATTAGAGATGGGATTTTTCTCCTTTGTGTCCTTCCGCCTCCATTTTGTTCTTCATTGGTCGTGTCTCACCTCCCAAAGAACATCTGCTGTTCTGCCTTTATTTGCTAACAAACTCAACACAAAGGAACAAACTAATACAGAAAGACCTAAATGACAAACATAAACAAAGGCCAATAAAACTGGAATCACAAAAACCCATGACTCCTGATGGATCACCTGGTGATCTGGTTTGTGGTACAAACCAAGGCCAGAGGACACGGATGTTTTAAATCCTAAGTTATGGATTCTGTCGCCTTGATCCAGTTGAATGTTTTAAAAAGCAGCTACAGACTTTTCTGCTTTAAAATCATTTTTAATTAGGTAAATGAAAAGATGCAATTTATCTTTTTTATTTTTAAACATCCTTGTGTTTGACTGTCCACTTTATGGTCTATACATACAAAGTGTTTTAGATATATGACTATTACTTTTGGCTTTTTACTTTTACTTACTCCGTCCTTCCCTTCTTTCTTTCCTTTTGTTTACGTCTTCTTGTGTTTTGCATTCCTTTTTTCATTCTTTCCTTTCTTGTCTCCTCTTTACCCCCTTTTTTCTTATATTCCTTATTTTTTCTTTGTACTTCCTCTTTTATATCCTTTTTTTTCTTCCTTGCTTTCTAGTGTCCTTATTCCTCCCCTCTGTCCTTCCTCACTACCTTTCTTGATTCTTTCCTTGCCCTGCCTACCTCCTTTCTTTCTGTCTTTCATTTTTTCCCTTGTTGCTTTCTTGTGTCCTTACTTCTCTACCTGTCCTTCCTTGGTTCCTTCCTCTCTTCCTTTTTCCCTCTTTTATATATGTCCTTCCTCTCTTTCCTTTTTTGTATTCATCCTGTCTTTCCTTACTTGTCATTCACCTTCCCTGCTGTCCTTCTTCTTCTCCTCCCTCACAGTCTCTGTTTTCTCTGCAGGTTCCATATTTAAAGCCTGCTCACAGTAGAAATATCCCTTTTTTATTTTACATATAAATTAAAATGATTTTGGATGTAAATGTGTAGGAATTTCTGCTTTGCTGCATGAGTGAAGTTTTAAACTAGTGCATCTTGTCCCCTTTTACAGGTGGTAAATGCCAAGAAAAAAGGAAAGAAGAAAAACTACAAAAACTCTGGAACAGTAAGCCAGAAACTCTGCTTCAGTTTTTTTTCCTCCCTCAGTGCATTGAGCTGAGTTTAAAAGACCTGAAATGTGATTTTATGCTTCACGTCCCACAGCTTCTTTCATCCCGTTAAATAGAACTGGACTTTTTTTTATTAAATTAGAGAGAAACACCCACATATGTCCCGTCGGGGATCGTTGACTGTTACCCTATCGTCTCCAGGTAACGCTGCTGTCCTTCCTCGTGGACGTCGAAGTCACCTTTCTGGACTACATCAAAGGAGGGTAAGCGCCCGCCGCAAACTGCAGAGGCCGCATTGTTAACGAGGGCTGGCGTGCCGAGCGCCATCCCTGTCTCGATAATCAGCCCGCCATGACGGCGTGTCTGCAAAGTGCCAAAGATAATGATCCCTCTATGTGAGGGAGTCGGGCGGAAAAGTGTACATTTGCATGTGAGAGGGCGACAGCGAAAGGATGGTGGGGGAGAGAAAGAGAGAGAGATAGAGAGACTGACGGATGAGCTGACCCCAAGTCACACACAGATCAGTGTTTGTGTGTCTGCGTCCTGGTATGTAGCGGCTTCCATGCGTTCATCCTGACGTCTCTGTGCAGGGCGCTTGTGGACGTATGGTTCGCAGGAGCGTTGACCGTGTGTAGTAAGGCATGGCGTAAATGTTCGCCTACACACTCTGCCTTCATTAGAGTCACAGAGGGGGAGACTGTCAAAGGAGAGAGTGTGTGTCTACAGCTTTAACAGAAAATGCCACTGATGCACTTGTGTTTACAGGCTACCAAAAAAAAGTTGGCTAGCTTGTAGCTTGTTTTTCATCTATTCATAAAAGTTTTTTGAAACGGTTTTGTGGGTTTGGATTGTTTTGTGGCACAGACCCAAAGGAATAAAAACAACACGCTGCTTCTTTTTTTTAGATTTTCTTGATGATCCTCAATTATTTTTATTTATTTATTTTTTTTGAAGAACAGCGAGTCACCGCAGTCTTAAATTTATGTAGCTAAAATTCAGTTATGAAAATTTCTTGGCCTTTAATACATTCATCACATGTATTTAAGTTTCTGTCAGACAAAAATTTGAGTCGCATGCAGACATCTTTGTTGCGCTCTGTGACTCAAGGGGGCAGCTACAGGTAACTAGCTGCTAATCACATTTGCTAGCCAGCTAGCAAAGTGCACATTTTTTACATTTATAGTACATCTGTTGCGATACAGGTCTTAAATTTAACTCTTAATGGTCCTACAAATGTCTTAAATTTGAGTTGTTGAAACCTGCAAGTGGCAGGGTAAAAAAGAGAGAGATTGCAAGGAGATACTAGTGTAATACTTAGATGCCATAGCTATCCAGTTCAACTGAAACGTGTTTTCAGTTATTAAATGCAAGCCTGAGCTCCCACCGCCTGTCCACTTATACGTTCACACACTCACTGTCTGCTAAAGGAGACGTCCTCCATCATCAGTTTCTCCCCGAGTGTGGATTTCTCAGCCACTTTGTGTTTTTTTTTTTTTTTTTTTCCCCCCGTCTTTTTTGGCACTGCATTGAGAGTGTGTAAGCTGAATGCTCCAACACCCTTGTGTGGGTAAATTAGGAGCCAAGTGCGGTTTCTCTGTTTGCAGCCTAAATGGACCGTAATGGTCCTGTCGCACTTAGTCCAATTGCGTAATGGGCTGACAGCATGTTTGTTTGTGCGCACAGACTGAAAGATGCACATTTAAGTGTGAACATGCACCCAGACATTCCTCCGTTTGAGCATTTTCCTTGTGCCTACCTGTCCAGATGGACTGCCGTCTCTTTTCCCTACCTGCTTCTGTCGTCGCTGGTTCTTTGTCGTCTGACTGACGGCTCCTTTTTGCAGTTTCAACCTAATCAGCTAATTGTTCAATTGAACCTAATTAGGAACTAGACCTGCTGGTTGGATTAGCATAAATGACTGATTTGAAAGCGCTCTCCGTAAGTCTGGATTGACGGCGCTCTCATGCTTTTCCTTCCCTTTGATGGCGCTACCCATGAATTGTAACAAAGAAGCCCCGTTTTGTGCCGGAGTGATGATGAAGTGATGAATTGTTGCCGATATCTTTCATTTTTAACACCGTCTTTGAAGACCGCTCTGTCACTCAACGTGACAGATATTGTTTGGTTTGTGAATTGAGCATAGAAACCAGAATAGAGGCAGGAGGGAACTCTGCTGGCACTGTCATCTTTCTGAGAAGCTATCATTAGTGGGAGAAGCAGACAAAAAAATAAAATCAAAGAGGAAAAAATGGCAAACAAGGCAGCTCCTTGAAAAGACACCAGGCTTAATTGGAAACTTGAAACAGTCCATTATGTTCATCCTACAATGTAAAACACTAATGTTAAGTATGGATTTATTAACACAAAATTCTGCAGTGGACAAACTTTAAATATGTAATCAGCACGACGTGGAAGGAAGGAAGGAAATGAGAGATGTCGGACAAAGACGTGAGGCCAGAAGATTGCAAGGAAAGGAAAAGAAATAAGTCGAGGTAGGAAGTAGAGAAGAAAGAAAAGAGGGGCAGACACAAAACAAGAGGGAAGAAAGGGAAAATTCAATGAAGGAAAATCTTAGACAGGGAAGGAATAAATTGAAAACAGGGTAAAAGATACAAAAAGGAAGAAACAAATGACATTAATAAAAGAAGAAATGACACTAGGAAGGATACAACAAAGGAAATACAGAAGGTAGAAGAGCAAAAACAAAGTAGAAAACTAAAGGAAGGAAAGACCCAAAGTAAAAAGGAGGAAACGACACTAGGATACAAGGAAATTAAAAAAGGAGGTAACTTTTAAACAATGGAAGAGAAAATGAAATTTAGGAATATTCAGGCCTTTTCTTTAATCTCAGCTCATTTGTCTGTCCTGTAAACATCTTTAAATTATATTCTATAAAAGAATAAGTTCCAAAACTTGTTAGCCTAACTGTTGAAAAACAACATGAAGATTACAGTGTTACACATGTCTACTGTATGAGAGATTAATCAAGAAATCAGGTGGTTTTGTGGCCAGTTGAGCCCTCAGAAGTCTGGCCTAGTTTACAGGAGCCACCCATGGTGTAAAAGTGAAGGTGACAACCGAGGTTGATGTAGGGGAGTCAAAGTGATCGGGCGTTTGGCTTCTTCTGCCGCCATGTGGACGCTGTCCAACAAGAAACATCTGCTTGCCTCTCATCAGGAGAGGTCACTTCCCTCAACATCTGATGCTGTTTTCAGGTCGCTCAGCGCACTCATGCATGCACACTTCACCCCGGCACGGAGGAGCAAGGAAACATTGTTTCTGAACATGATTTAAAGTTTTGGCCATTTTTTTTTTTTTTAGGCAGGAATATTCTCATGTTAAAGCTTTCAGTGAACAAATGTCAGACTGTATTCTATGTTCCTATGTAAATGGTAAATACATCCATCCTTTTTGTTTGACAAGCTTGTTTTGCTTGCAGCTGCTATTTATTTGGACTTTGAATTCAGGTCAATTTTACGACAGAATATTAGGACGGGGCTAGTGTTTTTATATTTCTCTAATGCGAGAATAAAATCAGATTACAAGAATACAGTGGTAGTAGGTAATATGATAGTCACACGACAATAAAGCTGTAAAACTGTAGTATGAGGAGAATGAAGTATTCATTTTATGACAAATTAAAGAAAAACTTAAATGAGGAACATTAGCGTCTTGTGAAGTTATACGTTTGTATTGGCTACTGATGAGGCATTACTGCAAATTTGAACTCGTCAGCTTCAAATTAGTCCATTTCAGAGAAAGGTCACGTCATATCTGCATGACTCAAGATGCTTTTTTCATTTCAATTGAGTTTTTTCTGGTAACTTTAAGATGTTCTGGTAAATTTGTGTCTTTATTCAGCTAATATTATGACTATATCCTCATAATATTCTTGGGCCCTGATGCTCCAAAACACAACTAAGAGAAGGGTTGATTGAAAAAAAATCCACTTTTTAAAAAATATTTCCTGCTATTTATAAACGAAAGCAAGGAAAATAATTATTTTTAAGGCACATCGCCCTGTCCTTCCTTAGAGTTTGTACTATTTTACATATCCCATGCAGTATTTCCCTCCTGACCACTAAGTTTATAGGAAGCACATATGTTTTATTTATATTGGCTCTAGGCGAGGCGCTAATGTAAACTCAGAGTTCCAGAAAATGCAGTAACATTTTGGGAAGCAGGAGAGTTTTTAATCTGAGCTGCTGTGCCACAGTACTCAGCAGCAGGTCTGTTTTCCGGCGCTCCCCAAACCAAGCGTCGTTTCACAGCGTTCAGGATCTACTTCTTGTCCTGTATGGTTTACGACCTCCCTGCTTCTCCTGGCAAAGTGTCGCTTTCCATCAGCATCAGTGAATCAGTGGTATGGAGTGACTGTGCGTTGCATCAGCTGCGTGTTACGCGCCAGATAAACAAGACGCATATTAGCATTTGAAGGGCTGCACTTTACTTAGAAGTTCTAAGTGACTTTTTAGTGTGAAGATTAAAAAGTGTGAAGCGACTAGAAGTGTTTTTTAGTATTCCAATGTCACTGATGGTGATGCATAAGGAATAAGAAAGCACTGTTTTTGCACGGTCAAAAGTGCAAAATCATTTTCCTGAACAAAAAAGAAAAAAACTGCAGACTAAATGATGGACCAGATTTCAGGTGACTTAGTTTTTTTGTTTGTTTTGTTTGTTTTTTTTTATTAAAAACACAAAGCAGTAATTTGTTCATTTATTTTTGCTTTTCCAATACAACCTCTTTAAATCCAATCGTGCAGGTGTATTACCTAGACGCCGGCTATTAAATCTAAAGACGGGGGAAAATGTCAGCTAACAAATCTGTCTTTAATTTGAGTGGAAACAGTAAAACCCACTTTAACAATGACTTTTCTTTCACGCATGATTTGACTGGGTTGCCTAGAAGCACACACACACACACAAAACATCAGTGTGGTTAATTATAGCTCTTAAATGAAATTAGAATCTGCTAATATCAATGGAGTAAGGTCAGAGCTTTATAAAAATCGGATCTGGATGGCTCTGAATCTCAGACTGACTCATCAGTAGACTTTAAATGACTCGTACTAACAAACTCAAATGTGTTTAAAGCAGATCATGCAGGAATATGGATGATTATTGCACTCAGTTAAGTTTCCTTTGTGGTGGTTGTAACACATTCGTTCCTCGTTGCCGTTAAGTTCACCTCGTCCCGGTTTTTTCCCCTCACAGTTTGAGTTGTTCTGTCAAGCATTTGTGCATCTGTGACGGCCAGAGGTGTGGCAGGAGAGGAACAGGAACATGAATAATTTAGACTGCTCGGATGGAGCTTCTGTCTGCCAACATGAGGACCTGGACCAGAATCCACTTGCTGACCCCGTGTCCCTACAGCTGTCCCCGAGAAAAAGCCCTGTTATTTTCCGGTGATTGAGTAAAGTAGCTAAATAGTGTTTTCATGGCTGTGAAAAACGGTGCTTCCACCATTACTGATTCCTTTGGTTTTCTACTTATTTAATACACTTATATTAAAAGCTACATCAAGTGCTGCCAGACCAGTTGTTGGAGATTGACTGGTGATATGACGTATCTTTGCCCGGGGGCCCAAGCCCAGTCCAAGCAAAGCACAAGACTGACTTGGAACAAAAAACAATGTGACCATGACAGTCGCACCCTGTTGGGGTGATTATGTCTACTCTTTGTACACATTAGTTTGAACATGAGGGCAATTAACTCTGGGCTCAAAGAGATTTCTCTGCTTTTCATTGACATGTGAAGGTAACAAGGATGATGACCCGATTGGGGTTTGACTCCAAGGATTAGTGTACAAGCGGCAGCGTTGAGGATTTGCCATGACAGATTGCCTAACCACATGATGCTTCTAGAGGTCAACAAGTTGTGGAGTGTTTTTGATTTCGAATGAGGCGTCGGTCTCTCCCGACCGGTGCTGTCAATACCTGCCATGTCCTGACTAATAAACGGTGTCTCCTTTTGTTTTCAAAGGACCCAGATCAACTTCACGGTGGCCATTGATTTCACAGCGTCCAACGGTGAGGACACACTTGAACCGTGCACACATTCACACTTAGAGAGCTGCCTGAAGACAGAAAAAAAAAAACCCTGAGCACATAAGGGAAATTTATTCAAACATATGCAAATGGAGAAATCAAGTATTCCTTAATGGCCCCCCTCCATCACACCTGGCAGCTAAAGCTCAGCGCGCTAACAGGCTAAGATGGTGTTGATTATGGAGTGAGTTATGCATTTAGGGTTGAGCTCCAGCCATTCAGAACAGGGGGCAGCAATTAAGCTAAGTTCTGTTAAATGTAGCAAATGCTTTCAAGCAGTGGACGGACCGATGAGTCTGAACTGTTGGTGCACATGATCCTGTGGGTCTGTCAGGAAATGTTTTTATGAGCAAGCGAGCCGCTGACATAAGTCACAACTTGGAAGGTCAAAATAAACTTTACATTAGCGCTGCGTCTGTGAAGCAACTACGTCTTTTAAGGCGTTTACTCATTAACCCAATTTTGAACTTGCTCCCTGACCAAATTCCCAACTTTTTTCCTCGACACAGTAAAATATATTCAGAAAACCGATGGGTCGCAAAATATCAGCTCGCAATCTTTGAATTTCTGATGGTCCTGCACGCCTTTTGCGTTTCATAGGAAACCCAGCCCAGCCCACCTCTCTCCACTACATGAGCCCGTACCAGCTGAACGCTTACGCCATGGCCCTGAAGGCGGTTGGCGAGATCATTCAGGACTACGACAGCGACAAGATGTTCCCCGCACTGGGCTTCGGAGCCAAGCTGCCGCCGGACGGACGGGTGTCCCATGAGTTTGCCCTGGTGAGTGGAAGGCCGGGACATGATCTAAATTCTGCTGTCGGACTTTCTTTATGCGCATAAGCAAAACTTTTTAAACGTTGATATTTTATAAGAAAGTTATTAGGAAGCTTAAAGCAGGCTTGGATTAGTAATTTATGAGGCTTAACTTAACCCTTTTCTGAACAGAGAGAATTAAAGTCTCTTTGCTTGTTTCTTAAAGAGTCAGTACTATGTATTTTTCAGATACATTGTGCCATTGTGTAGCACAAAAAAGGAACTGTTACTGTTACCAGCAGACGTGCAGTTCCACTAGATGTTTGCTAATTGCTGCAACTAGTCTGGAGGAGCTGAGTGGGAAGAGGGATGCTCTGTGAGGCGGCTTTTGGTGATGGAATAACATCATAACATGATGTAAAGCTTAAAACATAGATTTAACATAATCCTGCCCCTTTAAGGATTCAGTTACGTTTCATTGCTCCGTCTCCTTCACTTGCTCGTCCAAGATGTTGCAATAACTGACCTTTTCTCGCGTTTTCAGAACGGTAACCCTCAGAACCCGTACTGCGCAGGCATTGAGGGTGTAATGGAGGCCTACTACCAGAGTCTCAAGTCCGTCCAGCTCTACGGACCCACCAACTTCTCCCCCGTCATCAACCACGTCGCCAGGTACCACAAACACTCGCTTTTTGGAGTTGTAGTGTAATTAAAGCAACTTTTCTTTGCTCCTCCACTCGCATGTTTTCCACCACTGCTTATGTAATGGATTTCTTTGGAGTATGTGCGAAACAACGCGCGGGTGCACCGACTCCAAACACACTCTCCCGGCTTATTTTTTTTTCCATAATGAGCTCTGTGAGGCGAGTGTTGCCAGGTAGCTAACAAGAAGTGTTTTTATTTAAGGAGTTGATTACATGTTTGTTTCTGTCTGCGCCGCGATGAGAGCATAAATCATGCTGCAGGGAAGGAGAGCTGGCGCGTCAAAGTTCTCTGAAAAACACATTAAGAAACTTTTCATACAAGGATGTAATTAAAGCGGTGCACCCGAGTGATGTCTCATCAGGTTATTTCACAGATCTGAGTGATAATTTACTGAAATCTCACTGGCATGACGAGACGAAAGCAGGGTTTGTGAGAAAAGACCTGAATATTGATGCATGACATCAGGCTTGCTCCTGCTTTGTGATCACCCACTATTAAGGCCACTCAGATAAAGCACTTTATTAGACTTAATAAGTATGCAGACGTACATAGATGTGGGGAAAAAACACAGTTTGTATGCAAGAACCACTTTGCATAGAACAATACCAAGGTGAAAAGACATTAGCCGTGACTTTAGCGAGGAAGCTGCAAGTGCACATCAATCTGGGAACCATTACAAGGTCGTTTCCAAACAGTTTGGAAACCATTGCGGACTGTCCGTCTTCACAGGAGTGAACGTGCCAACAAGGTTCAGAAGAGATGTCTTCTGTTTTTCTGCTTTTCTGTGGTCAAACAAACATTTGTAATGAGAAATGGACCATCCAAACTAACATGGCCTCATGTTAAAAAGTATTTACCCATAAATCAACCACTTTGTGGACATCTTTTAATTTTGCAACGTTAGTGCGTTGTTGGACAAAGATTGTACTACACCATTCCAGTCAGATTTAAATCCAAACTTTGACTAGGCCACTCCTCAGCCTTAATCTGGTTTTGAGCTGGCTTGTGTGCCTCTTGCCGCACGACCCAAGTGCTCTTCATCTTAAGAGCTCTAGGTTGTTGTACGAAGCTAAAAGCTAGTTATTTTTGCGCTTCTGTTTCCAGATACGCTGCTTCTGTGAAGGACGGTTCTCAGTACTTTGTGCTGCTCATCATCACCGACGGCGTTATCTCGGACATGGCCCAAACGAAGGAGTCAATTGTCAATGTGAGTAAACTGGACTCTTCACTTCTCGACTGGTAAAGTCTGACACTCATTTCAAATGTAAAGCTCAGATTTCCAGCATGATTGCCCTCAATGATGATTCTGCTTCGTAAACTTAATGAACGATGCAGTAAAATGTAGTAAATATACTAAATATTAATCTATTTTTTTCAGAAGGCTGTGGACTTTATTATAAAATGGAGTTGATTAATGTGACACGAACTGTTTTTTTTATTTTCTTTTATTTTAGTAATTACGTATAGATTGTGTTCAATGTCCATGAAGATATTAAAAATCCTTGTAAAATTTTGTACAAACGCCTTTAAATAAATGTTTTTATTGCAGTAGCATCATCTCATCTTTAAAAAAAAAGAAAGTAATTTAAGTTCCTTTATTCAGTAGGAAAACATGACACATGAAGAAATAATTGGACTTTGCACAATAACATTGTCAAACCCAAGCAGAAACTTGGGTTTCATATTTCATATTCTCATATTTAAAGTTCTGGTTAAAAACTTTAAAACCTCTACATGCTAGTGATGACCTACCACATACCAGAACCAGATACGTCAAGAAGAAGAAGAAGAAATCATGTATATTCAATATATCAGATTACTTTAGTATCTGATCAGCAATAGCTTCCACTCATTAAAAGCATCAGTTGAATTCATTAGAAGTCGGCTATTAATTTTTTTTTTATTTTTTCACGTTTTTCTTTGGATCCCTCGGCTTCCATTGGAGCACATTTCATCAGATTCAGACTTTAATTAAACCAACATCCACTGCCGCCGTCTTGTTTTCTGGGTTATTTTCCCGTCGCTCCTGATTACATACACCACTCTCTGAATGACGGCTAAAAAACAAGTTGCTATTTTCTAATCAGCTTGTTTTGTGGATAATTATCAGCTTCTAACTTTACTGACAGAGAGACGTCAGGAAAAAAAATCACACATTATGGCATTTATCAGTTATTTTTATCATCCAGAAGCAAAAGTCGAGCTGAAGAAGAAGAGAAGCTGTCAAGAGAAATGATCTTCCTTTTCCTGCTTTGCCACTAGAGATGTTATGTAACAAGAGAGCCTTTACTCTTCTCTCTTTTTTTTTTTTATTAGTTACATATTCCTCTAACGGTGTGCTTTCCACCCCTCCCCTGTCCTCTCCATCACTGTCGACTCAAAGCGAGCTCCAGAGGAAAGAGTGTCGCGTAGAATACAAACAAAGCGAAGGGGTTCCTGTTAAGCCAGCGACCCGAGCCTTTGAAAGAAACACGGGCTGTAAAATGTAGAGAGACAACGTAACGACAGAGAGTAAAACGGTTGGAAATGGACAGACATTAGGTGAAAAAGACAAACTACAGGGAATAGAGGCCCAAAGGGGAACGTTTACTGAGGGGAAACACAAAAAACCCCGACATGTTTAGATAGGATCATCTGTCTCTCTCTTCTGCCTGAGGTCGGATCATTACTCAGATACACTGAACACTCTCTCACACACACACACACACCATTGATATCCTCCTTATAATACACCCTTCAAAGCTCTACCCACAAACACGACGTAAACTCTTGTCATTTGCAGGCTGTCAGTGAGTTCAGCCGCTCTTGTAGATTTCCTTATCTGTAACGTGAGTGACTGCGATGTCTCAACCCACACGGCACTGCAGGCGGAGGGAGACGCACACCAAACACTCACACAAACCCCCGCTCAGACCGAGCGCACGGCGCCAAGCATCAACGGGGCCTTTGTGTGTTTACTGGAAAATAAAATGCATAATACGGAACAATTTATCTAATTTAATCGCGTTTAAATTAAGTTCATTATTATTATTATTATGGATACAGTATGAACGTTTTCTTCAGAACATGGCTTGTTGCTTTTAGCCGGGAGGACGCCATGTCATTTTTTTTTTTGTCAATTCATATTTTATTTTCAAGGATCAGCTGACCGTCAGGCAATGACGCTAATTGCTCAGAGAATATTAGCCATGTCAGTCAGGAAGTAGGTCATGAGGTCAGTTTTGTTTTGAGCTTTAAGCATGCTGAGGTGAGTAAGGCATCTAGTTATTGTAGCGTGAGATCAAATAGTGTTGCTCAGCTGATGATCAAACTGTTTGTTAGTCAGATGTGTTATAATGCGACTCTGCAGTTATTTTATGTCTCCATCTTTTAACTAGTTGAACCAGTACTTTGAACTTTTTCTTTTAACAGTGGCTGGTCTTCTGATTTCTTTGTGCAATTGAAAAACATTTAAGGGATAAATATCCTGCTTAAACAAATGCAAAGTTTGGGAGACTGTTTTAATCTTCTATGGCTCTGCTTTTCTCTCTCTCTCTGTGTTGTAGGCTTCATGTCTCCCAATGTCAATTATTATTGTGGGGGTCGGTCCAGCAGAATTTGATGGTAAGCCGTACCTAATACGACAAAAAAACATTTTCAAGTTACACTCTTAGATTAGAATTCAGCCTCCGGAACTGACTTGCACGCCTTTTATAATTTAGGTTGTGGTTTAACGCTTTATCTTCTTCTCAGCCATGGTGGAGTTGGATGGCGATGAAGTCCGAATCTCATCCAGGGGAAGATTTGCAGAGAGAGACATTGTTCAGGTAATCAGTCCCTTTTTTTTCCATCTCAAATGTCATGACGGTTTCAAATCTAACTGTGTCTAAGGTTGCAGCACAGTTTTGTTCTGTGGTTGGAGTCATTCTGGATTAAAGCTGTCATTAAATTGAGGTCATGTTTGTAGAAATGTCACTAAATATTGGCTTCAGTATCCATTTTATCCTCGCTTCTTTGCTTAATTTTTCAGTGAAGTGCCTCTTCAGAAACTGTGATATTGTCCAAATCTATACTAAAACTTCAATGTTTTTTTTTATGTATATAATTTGGTGATTATGTATCCTTGATATTTTCTGGAGTGTGTGTAAGGTATGTATTTTTTTCCTGCTTCCCTCCCTTTCTTTATAACATAATCTGGTGCCCATGGGTGCACCAGACTCTCACTGGAAAACCTTGACACAGACGCACACAAAGAGCCACCTCTTGACCCCTTCTCATTAAAGTAGATGAATAGAGACCTGCAGCTCAACTCTGTCCCAATGTTGTGTTGGAAAAGCCAAGAAAGCATTTTGGCTTCTTTAGATTTCAACATTTATATTTTAAGCACTCATTTCTTTAATCCTATTTACAACCTTTTTCTTTTTTTCATTCCTACCTATCCACATCCCCCTTTTTTTTTTACTGCTGCTGCGCTGGAAAACGTCACTAGTAATACCAGTCGGATTCAGGCTATATCCCGGCACCGATGCAAAGAAAAGACGTGCGGTCAGACTGAGCAGTTTGTTTGACTGTGACCTTTATGTCGCCATCATCAGACCGCGCTGCCTGGCACCCTCCCATACAGACACACGGATGCTCATTAGCCAGCTTTTTAATAAGCGGATACGCACACATTCAATGTCTTCGTACGGGGAAGAAGAAAAAAACAACTTGGTTTCACCCTTGGAGTATTGCTCCAGCTCAGCCTGCAGATTCTCATTATGAGCAAGTTAATAACTCAAATGACATGGTGAGGCATGAGCAGCAATAGGATCTTGTTACTGCAGGTGGAAACATCCAATAAAATAAAGGAATATTTTTGATCTGTGATTTTTTGTTGTTGTTGTTGTTGCTATTAATCATGTTTTAGACCGTATAGACAGTATGTGTGCAGTCATTCTTCATAAAACCACAGTGAAAACTTCTTCGCCTTGTCATGAGGTGAAGTGACACTCGTGGTTAAATTATTGGATTTACATACACGTCCTCTTTGTATTGCGTGTAAAAATGTTTAAACATGTATACAGCACCAGAATAAAACAGACATTGAATTTTGAACCTGAGGCATCGGCTGGAACTGCAAAATGACTAGAATTAGACCCAAATCAAAAGGATATGATTGACTTTTATTCATTTTTATTGCTTATTTTTCTGTTTCACATTCGCCGCCTGCTATACACTAGAAAACTGTGCTGTGAAATTTCTTTTGCCAGTTCTTTAGCAGAGAAGGAAGATATGCTAAGGGCTTTGTATGCACTAAAGTAGCCAGAGATGCTAAGAAATTTGAACTTACGGTAACTCCGAGTTGCCGTTTATGTCGCTGACGGTTTTTCCGAATCTTTCCAGTAATTCTTTGTTCGTTTTTACCTTCCAGTTTGTTCCATTCAGAGACTACATCGACAGAAGTGGGAACCACATTCTGAGCATGGCCCGGCTCGCCAAAGACGTCCTGGCCGAGATCCCGGACCAGTTCCTCTCCTACATGCGGACCCGGGGGATAAAGCCTTCGCCGGCGCCACCTCCCTACACGCCGCCGGGGCAGCCCGTCCAAACCCAGATATAAGGAGCAAGTCGTAGAGAGTCAAAAGTCTTACAGTCAGGTGTTCTCCAAACTTAACGCGCAAAATACTTCCGTCTCCTTAAAGCCGCTCTCCATGATTTGCCGTCATGGATGACGGGGGAGGGGTGTGTGTTTTTTCTCGCGGTCAGGAAGCTGCACGTCAGGCCGGGAAAGCGGTGCTTTAGAAGGAAAACGCAGCAAGAGTCTGTTTACTTCCACTATCGAGCATTCCTGTAATTGTCTGGATTTTGATAGGATGTTTATTGTTTTTCTTCTGTTGTGTACGTGTGGGTGCGAGCGCGAGTGAAACCAAGAAAAGCTTCGGAGAGAGCCGACAGATTCAAACTGTGCGGAGAAAAGAGAAGCAAAAACATGAAGGAGTTAATGATCTGGATTTTAGCTTGGAAAAAAAATGTGAAGGGAATGTTTCCAGACAAAGAAAGAAAAATGACTTAATCTTCTGTTAAAAAAAAAAAAAAAGGAAATATGTATCTTCTCTTTCTCTTTTCTCTCTCTAACTCATTGTTTACAGTAAATGCTAGCAAGGATTTTTACTGTTGATACTTTTATATACAGTTTCACCATGAAGGTTGTAATACTTTCTCTTCTCCTGGCTTTACGTCAGGTAGCTGCAGTGCAGGTCCTGGTAGCCCTTCTGTACCGTACCGTGCTGTACCGTACTGGACTGTATTCTGGTGTTTGTATTAACCTTTTTGCATGCGTGTAGCCTCAGTCAAGTGCATGCAGACAGTGACCCTGCACTACCTCTTTTCTCCATACATGCGTTTGTGGGAGGTAAATTCCTGTGTCTCACTTAGTTTCTCTTCCTTTGTGCCTCTCACTCTTTTAGTAGCTGCGTTTCCATCCAACATATGCTCCTTTCCTTCTTTCCCTTGCTTTATTTATTTGATATTATAATTTTTTATTAAATTTCTCTAATTTTCAAAGTTCAAATGAAGGTTCAAAAGGTTTGTTTTTATCATGGAAAGTTTTGTGCATGACTTTTTAACCCATACAACACACGCTTTGTGAATACAACTCAAAAATGTTTGAATTACAGTCCCATCGCCAACCATTTGATTAAATCGTCAAACAAATCAGTTGTTTTGTGCTAACAACATGCTAACCTTCTGTAATATTAGAAATGTACCACAACATCATAATGCTAGCTTTTCTATTTAATGTTGGCATTAAAATTCTTATGATGTATATTCATACAGGTAAAAGGATATAGCCAGATGCCAGATAGCCTCAAGCATTAGCTGATTGTTTTGAGCTAGCATAGCTTCCGTAGACAAACTAAACAGAACTGCTGCCATATTGTAGATTCTTACTTTTTTTTTGGTTTGCCCCAAGTCCAGTTTTTAAAACTGAATCCAAATTTACGGTACTTGAAACATTTTTGAGTGACTCTAAATTTTATGTAGCATTATTGACTGTTGAATGGAAATGTAGCTACTGTCTTCATACTCAAGTCTTTTTTTTCCCTCCAACTTTCCTTGCTAAGCGTGGCCGAGGGGTTTCATGTCATTGTGTCCTCATACCACCTTCCTCCCTCCATGTTTTAACACCTCAGCAGCTGCTCTCAAACTAAATGCTGTTTGAGCAAAACGAGCCCAGTGGTCAAAAATGCATAGAAAATCTAAATTACCCCATTGCGTGCGTTTGGTTTTCGTTTTTCTTTTTGGTTCTTTGTGGCATTGGCGAGCACGTACGTGCGTTTGCAGGTTTTTATTACACCTTATGGCTTTGATACAACTTTGTACACAAGTTTTAATATTTGTATTTGTACGTGCCATGGTCTGTGCGAGTCGTTATCCACCGACAACATCCGATGAATTAACACTGATGTCTTCTATTTTTGTTGCGAATGTGGGTTGGATGCGGTCCGATCTGTGCTGTCAGCGATGAATGAGAGTGAAAGACTGAATGAAATAACGTAACAGCAGCTAAATTATAAAAAGGTCACTGAAGTAATATCTTTCCAAACAGGGATAAAGTATTTAATATTACTAAATGTTTTATGAGTTTGTATGAGAATCAACATAATATTTAAAATGAGAAATATAGGATAAAACGCCTAATAAAATATTTAATTGGATAAATTCAATCTTTTAGGCTTAACACAGCTTAAAAACAGAGTACATCAGTATTTCTTCTTGGTCAAAAAGTAATTTCCCAGTCAGACCTACAACAGTTGCCTCTGAATCCCAAACTTATGGCATTTTCTTGCTCCCTCTTTCTCATGTCTGGTCACTGTAGCAGTCTGACTGGACCAACTTTGTGAGCGTGTGTTTGGTAGCTTAGCACAACTGCTGTGTTCAAAGCTTAGCTGGACACATCATTAGGATAGCAGGTCAAAAATGAGCAGCTCATTACTGCAGCAGATGCAGTGTAAAACACAAGCACTAAACTGGAAACTGATCCTGCACTGTGGGATTTACCACAGGCTGCATTGATTGGAAGGGCAAATGTGTTTCTGATGTTCAATCAAGGTTTCACGAAATGCTTGGACGAAATATCACCATTCCGAGATTCCATTCTTAGAAAGATTCCTGTGGCCAAGCAATCAAAATCATTTTATTATTATTTCATTAAATAATTGGCCACTTGGTGGCACTCAGACTCTGTATACAACCATTCCAAGATGGTCAGGCAGTCACTGGTTAACATCACCACATGGTGTGTGATGTTTTAGTTAATTTTTTTACAAAACAATCTCCTCTGTAATTGACTACATTAATGATGTCCTTCTATTAATATTATGACAAGAATCCTGACGTTTAAAATTTGATATTTTGTAGATCTAAATGTTTTACATATCGACCGATGACCAGGACGGAGGTTTTTCTCAGCCCTGAGTTCTCATGTGAAGCAGATCTCTTCGGCTTTTAGTTCCTTTTTGCTTAATTTTCTCATGCCGTCTTTGCTGCTCTTGGTTTTTCTTGGCTGGGCCAATATATATATATATATATATATATATATATATATATATATATATATATGGAGCCACAGCTCATTAAATCTGCCTATTCATGAAGCCAGAAGTGTGTTTATGAAAGTGTGTACGCGTGCATGTAAATTACTCTGTGTGTGTGTGTGTGTGTGTGTGCGAGGCACATTTATAGGAGTTTATATATATATATTATTATTATTATACCAAGTGAGGTGTTAACACACGTAAGATTTTTGTTTACTAAAGATATCCAAATAATATGTTGTATGCTTGTCATATCTCCTTAACGACGTGCACTACTATGTTTGCATGTACAGTTTTACAAGGGATGCACCAGTTCCTTTTGGTGAAAACTGAGTGTTTTGAAGTCTACAGATTATCTACATGAAGGATTAACTGTACAAAATGGCCTTAAATCTTTCACTGACTCTCTTGGAATTGTGCGATGCCTTCTTCAGAAAACTGTTTTATTGAAAACGATTTGATCCGTATCTACTTTGTGCCGGTGTTTCTATTGCTTTCTTGTGTTTTCTTTGCACTTTTCTTCAGTTCTGGGGTTTAAAAAAAATGTCTATAAATCTATTTATCTTGTACTTTTACTGAACCCGTGATCAGATAAAGCATGGCGAAGTACTGATTGTCTGATAATACATAGATGACTATTTCTGTATTGAACTATGGATTTTTAAATAAATATTCATATTAAACTCGGCTTGCTTTGCATTTCAGCAATCCTGAAGTGTTCAGTGCACATCTTTTACCATCTTTAATTTAAATTTCTCATCTTTTAAGAAATAAATACTTCCATTTTTGCGATTTGATGCCCCGTCAGGCAATAACACACAAATATGGCGTTATTACCTGATGGGGGTTGATGAAGTTATTTGAAACTCAGCAAGTACTTCCACAGCCACTGAGATTCATTTTCCCAATCTGAATTGTTTTTGTCAGATTTTTATGACGCCCCGACTTCTCAGTGGTGGGAAGTCGTTTTGCTGGTTCCAGGATTTGAATTTGCTCATGAAGATGCCAAAGTTTTTAAAATGTTGTAAATGATTGGATTCATCACAGACAAGGCTTACTTCTTGAAAGTTCAATCGAGTTGGTTGGATTTCAGAGGACCTGTCGTTTGTAGGGGACCTTCTTATGCAACCTGATCTCTGCATGCAAGATAAAACGTTTTGATAATCGGCCTCCAGATTTTAGAATTTGTTAAAGAAGTAAATGATGTGTGTTGGCCATTAATAGCACAAACAAGTAACTGTTACCTTCAGTTGTAATGAAAATGCTGCCAAATATAATTTAAAAGGAATTTAATTGCCTTGAAATTGGGTCTCTGCCTCATTAAAAACTCCTGCTCTTTCTGAAACTCCGTCTTCAGGAAATTGTCAGAATGTGACTCCTTTATTAACCCTTTAACAGCATTTTCACCTGAGTTTCACTGAGAACTACCTGAAATAATGGTGCATAAATGCAATAAAACATTTTCATTTTCAACCATTCTCAATCTTTCCAACAGCCTAAAGCTGGACCCATATCGTACACTGCACCGACACAGGAAACTGCTGGTGATTTGGGAGAGGTACGGCAAAGCAGCTGTAACCTATTTCCGTCCCAAGAGACGACATGTTGCCCGCTTTGGTTCTCTCTGGCAGATAGTGCCAGTCCCCTGGGCCAAGACGCACTGGCACACGCTGGCTTAGAGTGCTGCTCTACGCCTTTCTTCCGCTTCCTCTGATAGGCCCAACACTCCTGAGAGTACTTCAGGAGGGGTATCAGGTCCTTCTAGTGGCTCCCCTGTGGCCCGGGAGAACCTGGTTTCTACTGCTGATCAGGCTCTGTTGCAGCTTCCACAGGAAAGACCTTCTGCCACAGCTGGGGGGTCAGATCCTGCATCGTTACCTGCAGCTCTGTGTTTGCCAGTATTACCTTCTCAAAGTAAGACGGAGAGATTGGACATAAAGTGATTAATGCCAGGGCCCTTTCCACACGCTGGTGTACACCCACAAGTGGAAGGTTTTTAACAGCTGGTGTCATGCCAGACATGAGGACCCTATACACTGTCATATTTCTGTTATTTTAACCTTCTTTCAAGCAATGCTTTCTCAAGGTCAGTCTCCATCCACTCTGAAAGTTTATGTTGCTGCCATCTCTTGATGGCATACGGTGATGGGTGGAGAGATGAGAGGCCGTAACAAGGATGTTTCCTGGTTTCTGAGAGGTGCCCAACGTTTGGCCCCTCCCACACGCCCTGTCGGGCCTGTGTGGGACCTCTCTCTTGTCCTTGCTGCCCTACAATCTCCTTCGTTTGAGCCCTTGGCTCAAGTGAGCCTTGAGTGCTTCTCAAGGAAGACCGCTGTTCCCCTTGCCATTGCTGCAGAAAAGTGGGTGGGTGAACTACATGCGTTGTCTGTTCATGAATCCTGTTGCCATTAGAAACCAGCTGGTTCGGGGGTTAC